GGCTCTGTATTCTTTTTGTCGCTGTAGAGAAATCCAACTGATTTTTGTATGTTGATCTTGTATCCTGCTACTTTGCTGAATTGGTCAACTACGTTGCTGACTGAAATTTAACCTAAGCTATAACTGTGTTCTCTGTACACACTGTGCTTCACACAAATGAGCTTATCCTGTTCTGTCTAATTATTTTGTTCTAATAAATTATTAGCTATAAAGATCTTTATATTTCAGTATATATAAACATTTTATGCATTTTCAGAGACATTTGAGTGGGTAAGTGCCCTGTGAACTGGAAGGTGAGGATTCTTATCCACCATCTGCTCCACTGCCGGTGAAAACCTGCTGGGGGTCAGCTATGGGTCGGCTCTTACTCGATGACATTGAGGGTTTGGTTTTTTTTTTTTAGTTTTTATTAATGATTGGTTACAGAGTGCCTATGGAAGGTGCTACCGAAGCAGCAAGAGGAGCTCTGGTGGCACAGGGGATTCAGCCTTGGGCTGCTAAGTGACAGGCTGGAGGTGTGAACCCAGCAGCTGCTGTGTGAGAGAAGGGTGAGACAGACTGCTCCTGTACCGATTCACAACCTCAGAAACCCTCTGGGCAGCTTGACTCTATCCAACAGTGTTGCTATGAGTTGGGAATAAACTTGATGGCAATGGGTAAAACAGTGACCTCCAGTGGACATTAACTTACTGATGTTTCCAGGCATTGTGATGGGATTTGTGAGAGAGGACGTATGCCTGGTGATGCCTGCCTTCCTACAGCAGGCAACAGATAGCAGAAAGGATGACCTTTCTGAATTTTTTTTTTTTGACTGAAGATAGGGTTTTTGTCTTCCCCCCCCTTTTATTATGATTTATTTACAGAGTTTGAATACACTGCTTTTCACAAAAGAGCCTCCCATTTTCCTTCACCCCACCCACCCATCGAGTTGTACAACGTTATGATTAACACTTCCCCAACATACATCCTCACCCCTCTGTTTTCACTCTCAACCCTACCTTGGATCCTCATACTCATTCTACAATAATGGTTTTATACAGCATTGGTCCTTGTGGGGCAGAGTTAGTTCATTCAGCATAATGCTCTCCAGTCCCTCCCAAGTTAGGTAGTCATTTACAAAATTACTGCTCCTGCATGCTAAGTAGGATTCCGTTGTATGAATGTACCACAACTTCTCAATCCATTCATTTGGTAATACCATCTCAGATAAGAGTCTCATAAGGAAAGTTTACAGAATACTCCTGGACCTCCACCAAAAAAAAGACTGATAATCAATTACAAAATGGAAAAAAGACATGGAAAGAATTTTCACAGAGGAAGTTACTCAAATGGCCAACAGACATATGAAGAAATGCTCCAAATCACTGGCAATGAGATGCCATCTCACTCCAGTAGCAGTGGTAAAACTTGACAGCAAGTAATAAATGTTGGCAAGGATGTGGTGAGATAGGAACTCTTACATTGTTGATGGGATTCTAAAATGATACAGCCACTCTGGAAGGCAGTTTGGTGCTTCCTCAAAAAGGTGAACATAGAAATTCCATATGACCCAGCTGTTCCATTGCTTGACTTATACCCCAAGAAAATGAGAACTGAGGCTCAAACTTGTACATCAGTGTTCACAGCAGCAGCATTCACCATTTTAAGAACATGAAAACCGCCCAGACGTCCGACTTTTCTGAATTATTATAGAAATTTTTCCTGATTAATGGAGACTTGATAGTACAGTGTCAAGCCCTAAGCTGCCAACTAAAAGGTCACCAGTTCAAACCCATCAACCACTTCATGGGGAGAAAATACTGGCAGTCTGCTTCCATAAAGAGTTACAGCCCTGGAAATTCTCTGGGGCAGTTCTACTGTCTGATGGGGTCAGAGTCAAAATGGGCTTAGTGACAGTGGGTTGGGTTTTATATCTGAATAATACACGCACAGTAGCTGATGAAGCTTCTTAGACATGGAACACATCGTGTCCCCTGGAATTCTGTGAGAGCTGGTGGAGGAGACATTTGGGATGAGTTTTGAATAGCGGGCAGATGAAGATCCCTACAGTTAGACCATACATCCTAGTTGGAGGCAACTGCGTGAACGTAAGAATTGAGAAAGGACAAATCAAGCTTATTTGGGAGAACAGTAAGCAGGTATTTGTCACTAGGATGTGCTTGTGTATTTTAAAGAAATACGAGTTGCTGCCAAGTTGTCCCCTGCCCATAGTGATCGGTATGTCACTGAGCAGACGTGCTGCACAGGCTTTGTTGGCTGTGCTGTTTATGAAAGCTGGGCTCTGAGACTGTTTTGTAGTGTCTCGGGGTGCCTCTTCCTACCACCTTAGGTTTATAGCTGAGGGCACACTTGCACCCACAGACCTCCAGCCTTCTTTCACGCAGGGAGAGAAACTGCTAGGAAGAGGTGAGATGATTGAGGTTCTCAGGAGTTGCCTGTGTCTTGTTGGCTCACTGCCGCAGAGTCGGGTCATCGACTCCTAGATGACCTTCAGGGACTTCACAGGCTGTAAAATTCTGCAGGAGGAGAGAGCCCATCTTTCTGCCTTAGAGCTGCTGGTGGATTCAAACTATTTACCTCTGGGTTGGCAGCACAGCCCCTTACCCTCTAGGCCACCAGATCTCCCTATCCTTTTGACAGTTGAGGGGTTTTTTTGAGTAAATAAGTTTTATAATAATGAAATGTTGAATGACTCAACCCATGGGAAGGTGTCAAGTATGAAGACTACCAGGAGGGAAAGTCGTTCCTCACCATCTCATTTATCCCTTCAACTTCTTGCTCAGCTTCAACTCTGTGTTGGGTTTTTTCCTTACAGTTTTTTCCCCAGTTAAAATTAGTATTAATATAAGAATAGTTAGGAAATTCATTATTGACTACCTTCTCTTTTTTTAAAATATTATTACTCCAGGAATAGTTCTTTTAACATTCATACACAAATTAGTCAACTCCTCCTTCTCTTATTCAACTTTTCTGAAGAATTAACCTACAACTTAAGTGATTTCTTATTGCCCTTTGAAATTCTGTGGTCTTAGATAATTGAGGATACATGACCAGCTTTATTGGCTCAAGAAAAACAGGTAATTAAGAATTGAAATGTTGTATGAAGTAGAATTCACTGTTTTAGGGACTTTAAGAAGTGTTACTGTTATTATCCTCAAAAGCAAGCTTAACATTGTTGAACTACCCTTCCCATCCTTCATATTTTTGGATATTTAAACCTTCTAATGGATGTTGTTGTACACCGTCAAGTCAGAACTGACTCATAGTTGACCCTCCAGCAGGTTTTCGGAGGCAGTAATTGCATGAGAGGAGATTACCCATCCTCCTTTTGTGGAGCAGTTGGTGGATTAGAACCATGTCCCTTTGAGATTGCAGCACAGATTTTTAGCACTTGGTCACCATTGCAGCTCTACTGGTTAAGATTTACTTAATATTTTAACTGAAATACAGTATTTTTCAAAATTCTAGTAGCAAAAATACTCTTTTTTAAGAATATACTTCAATATTATTTGTGGGCTATATTTTCTAAAACTTTATGCCTGTTTTTCAACTTTACATAGAGCAGTAGAATTTCCCAGAATAATCTTTAATATGCCACGGCTGTTGAAGTGTACCATCAAGTTGGAACCGACTCATAGCTAACCCTCCAGTGGGTTTGCAGAGGCAGTAAATTGCACGGGATGAGATTGCCCATCTTTCTGGTGGATTCAAATGATGTGTCTAAAGACACGTCAGCATGACAGTATGACTCCTTACCATTAGGCCACCAGAGTGCCCTGAATATGTTATAATAAGAATATTTAGTTTGTAGGTGATGATTTTTAACATTTTAACCCATTTTTTTCTCCTTCTCTTTTAGGAGAGTCATTCTATACATGGCTAGAAGGTAAACTTAGTGATTCCAATATAATGTATTAGCTCTTTATGGGGGGGAAGTACCAAATTATTTAAGATGTTTTTGTGGGTTTTAGAATTTCATCAGCTCGACAACTAACTTAAAACAATGTTAGGAAGAAAATAACGTGTAATTATTTGAAAATTTTGAAGCATTGGCTAGCCAAAAACTAATATTATAAAAAACACATAGTCCAGGTCCTGTGGCTATGTTCACAAGTTTTTTCTAGTATCTTTTCCATTCTGTATGTAGCAAATCTATTTTTGGAAGGAAGTACTCTTTTCCTATATAAAATTGAGGAAGGATACATTTTAATTCTGAAGGTTTAAACATAATTATACAACTTAACATAATCTAAGCTTGTTTAAAGGATAAATGTATCTTTGATCCCAATGTGTTATTTTTATATATATATATATATATATATATATATATATATATATATATATATAATGTGTATATATATATAATGTGTATATATATATAATGTATATATATATGTGTGTGTGTGTGTGTATATATATATAGTGTGTTCTCTCATATGAAATATTATTAATGGGAAGCTGAAACACTCTAGAATTTTTATTATTTTAGTACTTATTTTTGTCATGTGCCATTAAGTCAAGTATACTCATAGTGACTCTGAACATGGATCTCGGCCCTAATCTGTGCCATCCTAATCAGCTCTGACATAATTGAACCCAGATATAGATAGATAGATAGATAGATAGATAGATAGATATAGATAGATAAAGATAGATAGCCCCACACACACACACATACATATTTATAATTTCTTTATGTATGAATACATTTATTTGGTACAAATTGCCATTAGTACATAAACAACCAAAAGTTAAAATACACCAATGAGGAGGAATACAGGAGGTCCGTCGGTGGGCGGCCCAGCTTGCCCCTCGCCACCTTTGGCCCATGGCCTTCCCTCCCTCGCCCCTCTCACCCCTGGGCCCAGGATGCCACAGTACCCGACCTTGGAGGAGTTCAGCCGCACAGCCGAGAAGTTCTACATCACTGACCCCATGAAAGCCCATATGATTCTCAAATATAGGCATACCGATGGGCGTCAGTATATTAAAGTGGCAAATGATTTCGTTTGTTTGGTGTATAGAACAGACCAAGCTCAAGATGTAAAGATCGAGAAATTCCACAGTCAACTAATGTGACTTATGGTCGCCAAGGAATCCTGCTGTGTTGCCATGGAAACAGACTGACGGTTCAAACAGAAGACAGTCATGATTAGGAAGTAAATGTCTTTTGAACTTGAGAAAGCTTTTGGGACAAGAAATACTTTAACTGAACAAGCTATTCAAAATCTGAGAGGTTTTGTACTTTGGTTTTTAATGTTTAGAGAGCTATAGAGTAGTTATTTTTTGAAATTGACAAGATAATGCATCTAAGGAACTTTTTGCAGATTATTTTAGATTGAGCAAAATATAAAGTTATTTGAAAATGAACTATCAGGAGAGGCCAGTTCTCCCTTAAATTTACTCTTTCATTAAGAGAAAATAAAATGTAAACCGTTTACTAGATTAATATTTCTTCTGGAGCATAAAAATCTGTGCTATTGACTTAAGAAAATAGAGTCACTAGAATTAACTATGCACAATAGTGTATCTAATTATATATATAGTACTATAATCTCAATTATATTCCCATTCGAAAAAAAAGGGAGACCCAACAGAGTGTGGAAATTATTGAACAATATCACTAATAATACACACTAGCAAAATCCTACTGAAGATTTCCCAGAAAAGACTTGAACAGTACATTGACAGAGAAGTACCAGAAATACAGGCTGGGTTTAGAAGAGGTTGTGGCTCTAGGGACATTATTGCCAATGTCAGATGATGTTGGCAGAAGCAGAGTACCAGAAGAATGTCCATCTGACTGTGCAAAGACATTTGACTGTATGGGAAAATCTGCTGTGTTGGACCTCTCCAGAGTGCTGAAGAGCAACGATGTCAGTCTATATATAAAGGTACACCTAATCCAGGCCATGGTCTTCTCAATTACATGTTATGCTTCAGAGAGTTGAACAGTGACTAAAGATGACAGTAGATGCCTTCGAGTTGTGGTGTTGGAGAAGAGTCTTGACCATACCATGGACTGCCAAGAAAATAAATAGGTCTGTCTTGGAGAGGGTGAAACCAAGTCTCTCCTTAGAAGCTAGGATTTTTTTTTTTTTAATTTTGTGTGCGTGTACCGTCAAATCAGATCTGACTGGTACAGGAGGATATTGCGCCTCCTTCTCCGGCCGAGCGTCTGGTGGATTTGAACCGTGTTCCTCTGGGATTGCAGTGCAGCTTCTTGCCACTAGGCCACCAGAGCTCCCCAGAAGCTAGGATTTTGAAGTTCCACTTCACTTTGAGAAAGTGGCCAGGAGAGATCGGTCCTTGGAGAAGGACATCATGCTCAGAAGGGTGGACGAAGAGCACAGGAGAGGGAGATCCCGGATGAGATGGATTGATCGAGTAACTGGGGCAGTGAGGTTGGTGTGTTGGAATTAGTGAGATTGGCTCAGGACAGGGAAGGGTTCAGAGATGCTCTACACAGAGTTGCTATACATCACAGGTAACTCAATGGCACATAACAACAATAACATACTATGACAGGTTTGGAGGCAGGAGTGGCTTCCTAAATAACATGCCTCTGGAAACTATGAACTTTGATAAATGTCAGTAGTTGTAGAGGGATGTCAGGCCTTTTGTTCATAGCATCACTATGAGTCGTGCTCGACTCAAAGGCAATCAGCAACAATAATAACTTAATCTCAGTTATGTCTGAAAGTAATTTTGAGTAACAAGGATGCTTTACTGTAAACTTTCAGATTTAAACTCTATTTTTGAATATAAGAGATCTGACCACCATTGCATGTTGAGAAGTGATTGACTGTGATGCTTTTTGGTGATCAGCATAACTACAGTTAACTTTTATGGATTAAACCAAATGATGATCTCTCTAATGGACTGAAATCACCATATTACAGAAATAAATACAACATATTTCCCATCTGTAGTTTCTCAGAAGGCTAAGGGATGTTTGAGTCCTTGAGTCTTAAATCTCAAGGTACCTCTGAGATGCACACCTCTGTCCTCGTCTCTTGGTGTGAAGCATGACTGACAACTTAGGGCTCTAGAGTACAGTATTTTATATTTATCTTTGTAACCTCAATTATACCTACTAAAAGTAATCTTTGCATATTTATTCCTCAAACAGGAAATGAAGGGACTACATGAAAGTATTTTTTGTTAGGAATTTGTCATGTTGAGTAACATTTCAGAATGGGAATTTCCATCATCAGTATGAATTTTGCTTTGCCTCAAAGGGGTCAGCAAATAAAATACTACATGAACATTAAAAAATAAGAGTACTCCAATGAAAGCAAGTTGAATGATACATGAAATTTAGTATTTCATAACCTTATGTGAAACCTGTGGGGTTAACCAAAGGGCATACAGTACTGTTGGAGTAAGCATATATTGGTGGAACTAATGAAATTAGATCTGAAAGAAGACAGCCACTTTCTAATTTGGGTGGTTGAGTGTGCTCTCTGGTGTTAGAAGTTGGTGGGTTCTGTCTTTGTGGATGAGATTTTGAAGCTATCATCCCATAGGATGCCTGGGAAGCTTTCTTCCTGGTTCTAAGGAGTCCGAAGCCAGTTATTTTCAGGTTGAGTCCAACTCCTGGCAGCCCATGAAATCCCTGGGTGGTTAACGGTCTCACTTGCTGACCCACAGTGACATACATAGACCATAGTGAGGGGTACCGATCGGCCAAAGCCTTCACATGTCCTGTGGTTCGAATCCACCAGTGGCTCCTTGGGAATGAGATGGACAGTTTCCTCCCATAGAAGTTTGCAGGCTCAGAAGCCTGATGGAGGGTCACGATGGGGTGGGACCAACCTGAAGGCCGTGAGAGTGAGGGACCCAGAGTCTACAGGTGGAGTGCACTCTGCAGTGCTTGTGGGTTACCGAGACTCAGCACCAACTACGCAAGCCCTGCCTGATGAGGAGGAGGCCCACAGGCCTGAGGGTCTCCACGACTCAGTGCCAACTCAGCAGGCCCTGATAAGTAAGAGACAGCAGCCCAGCAGCCTGGGCGGGAGAAGCATGCCTGCAGCTCACTGCCATGTACATGGGGCAACCTTTGCTGCACCCACTTTGCACGCGTTTGTGTGTCTTATAAACATTCTAAACAGGCCATATATTTTAAGAGGAAGCTACATATAGAGTAAATTTCTCTTGTTTGTTCTTCCATGACAGAACATACCAGCAAGTCTTCTCTAGTGAGATTCCCAAAGAAACCTCTGAAAAACTCTGCTTCAGTGTAGTAGAGGTCTTAAAGATAGATCTTGAAGAGATGAAAAAAAGGATTTTTTAGAAGCTTTACATTTTAAAAAATTCTCTTAGTATATGAATGAGATAATTTCTTTCTACTCTTAACGTCCATTTTCTACCACCGTCCTCCCCTTAGAGGTAAAAAACAAAAGTTAACACAAAAATCCAAACCCATTGATGTTGACTGAGGAGAAAGGGGAAAAAACATGGATTATTCTTCAGCTAGCAATTCTTAAAATTCACTTTACTGAATTTTTGAAAACTTAGGGAAAATGATGCACTCCTTTGCTACTAATTGGAATCTTTGAAAGTGGAAGCAAGGACAGGATGGGGTAGGGCTATTATTGTGGCCCCTGTTTTGGGCTGTGCAGAGAGACGGGTAGTGAGGCTGCCTGAGATTTTTCTTCACATTTCTGGGATCCGTCTGAGCCATCTCCGATCATTTAGAAAATAGTCAATGTGTATTTTTCTACTAATTGAAATTTTGACAGATCTGTTTTCTCAAGTTTTAACTCTTTAAAAGTAGAAAATTAATGGACTGGGGGAAATTCAGAGAAGAGGATAAATAAGACAGTTTGTAGGAGGAAAGGGAATTTTTGTTCTTAAGAATAGAAGTTGTAGAACAGATACTGTTAAGCCAACAGTTAGTTTATAGTCATATTTTCTGTAGGGCTATCTCTACTTAACCATTAAAAATGTGTGCTTGTATTTTCTGGGCAGGGTGCTGGCTTGTCCATTGCTCTGTGTGGTTTTGGGGTCTCTAGTAGCTCAGTCAGGGTGCTCCTTAGAGGCGAGGATGGTGAAACTACATCTCAGACTAGGGCATAGTGTCAACCAGTCCTAGAGAGAGACATCATGCTTACAATGCAGAGGGGGTGGTTGATGAATGAGAGGATAGATGAATACGGGCAGTAGCAGTGGGTTCACACGTGTCAGAGATGGGGAGGATGGTTCAGGCTAGGGCAGGGTTGTTGGAGGTCTTCGTCACCTCGACAGCACCTAGCAACAGGTAGCTCAGACCTTTCCATCTTACTCTCCATTGCACTCTTTTCCTGTTCTCTTAACTCAGTTCTGAAGCCGGAACCATACTTTCTCTAGGCAAGAATTGTAAATGTTTTCTTTTCTTTGATGTCATGAGATCTCCACTTTTTTAAAAAAAGCCTGTGACCTGAATGTCGGTACTATTGTTTCTTTTTAATTGTTTACATGGAGTGATTTCCTTCTCAATATTTTTTTCCAAATAGGTTTGTGTCTGGAGAAGAGAGTCTTCTATAAGCTGATATCGGGACTTCATGCTAGTATCAATTTACATCTGTGTGCAAATTATCTTTTGGAAGGTAATCAGAGCTTTAAATAGACTTTTTTCTGTCTCTATTACCTAGAAATTATTGAGGAAAGGACATCCTCTAAAGAGTGGGAGAAATACCTTCTTTGTGTAAAGAATGCTCTGTTTGTCTTTAGAAACCTGGGGCAAGCCTAGTTGGGGACCCAACATTAAAGAATTTAAGCGGCGATTTGACCCTGTGGAAACCAAGGGAGAGGGTCCCCGGCGGCTGAAGAACCTGTACTTCCTGTACTTGATTGAGCTGAGGGCTTTGTCCAAGGTTGCCCCGTACTTTGAGCGCTCGATTGTCGACCTTTACACTGGAAATGGAGAAGATGATGCTGATACAAAGACCCTGCTGCTGAACATCTTCCAGGATACAAAGTAAGAATTGAACATCTGCGATCTGGAATGTAGCACTCTGCTTGTATGAGGTGGCTCTTGAAATACAGCAGAAACCTGGCTCCCAAGTCAGGATGAGGGGGAATTACAAGTAGAGGGAACATCAGGAGTAGACAGACTATAATATCAGAAAAATATATTTTTTTTAACATTTACAGACGAAAATCTATAATAATTTATTGTAGTGCTGTTTTTCAAATGGGTAAAAATATAGATAACAGATTTGCCAGCTTAATGTTTTTTCTTCTCATGTTGGATTTAGTGAAATCAGGTACTTCACACTGTGAGGCCAGCACTAACATCTGTCCCTGAGTTCTCCAGAGGCTGAGACTTGCTGCTTCCTGGACAGTGACCCCTCCTTCTCGCTCCCCCTCACTGACCACTAGTAAAACTGGATGCTCTGTATATTTGCTGAATAGGCATTTGTAAAAGTGTAACATTTTATATAGCATCAAAATGTAGTTATTTTTAGTTCTGTCTACTTTAACATGCAGTTTTTAATTAAAACATTTTATCTTTTATTACATAAATATATGGGTGAACTATTATTGTTCACATCCCTATGCTACTAAACCTGGCATTTGAGTGAGTGGTGAATTTGAGTCATTTGTTGGGAGGGAAGGTAGAAGCAGAGCCTGGCTTTTCCTCTGTGACCCGTTTGGTCCTTTCACAGGTCCTTCCCCATGCACTTTGATGAGAAATCCATGTTTGCAGGTGACAAGAAGGGAGCCAAGTCATTGAAGGTAAAAGTTATGTGGAACTGAAGGTGGATATAGTTGACCAGTTTGGTTTTAATCTTCTTTGTCTAAACTGTTTTCTCCCAAGTTGTTTGGGTTGGATTTTCCAAGCCCTCTGGATAACTCTTCAGTTCCTTTGTCCTCTCTAGTGGCAACTGTTAGTCCTCACTCATGGGCACATCCAGTAAATGACACTTTTTAAGTGTCTTTGTGAAAGCTAAAACCTTGCTTTAAGAGAATATACTTTAGAATGGTGAAAATAACATAAGGCAGTGGGATAAGCTGAGTGAATGTGCTTGCTTCTGGAATTCTCATGTGGTGCAACCAACTAAACACTCAGCTGTCACTGACTGTCCGAGTAGTGCAGCCTGTGGTCAGCAGTGCCGACCTGTTAGAAGCACACTGTGGTTTTGAGAGAGAAAAATTGGTAAATTTTCTAGAATTTGCTTTCTGATTTAGATCCTATACAGTAAAATGTAGGGGGAAAAAGACATTAAAATAGAGCTGTTTTTACCATGAGTTGTACCCTTAACTCAACTGGAAGCAACTGTTATGTACCAGAAATATAAAGACCATGTCTTCCATGGTGCAGTGTGTCCCCTACAGTGAGGTGTGTTCCCCGCGGTACACCGTGAGCTCCACAGTACACTGAACCCTGCAGTGCAGTGTGTCCCCCATGGCGCACCGTGTCCGCTGTCACCCATGGTACACTGTGACCCTCGTGGTGCATTGTGTCCCCTGTGGTGCACCGTGTCCCCCATGGTACACTGTGACCCTCGTGGTGCATTGTGTCCCCCGTGGTGCACCGTGTCCCCCACGGTACACCGTGACCCTCATGGTGCATTGTGTCCCCCATGGTACACTGTGACCCTCGTGGTGCATTGTGTCCCCCGTGGTGCACCGTGTCCCCCATGGTACACTGTGACCCTCATGGTGCAGTGTGTCCCCCATGGTACACTGTGACCCTCATGGTGCATTGTGTCCCCCGTGGTGCACCGTGTCCCCCATGGTACACTGTGACCCTCGTGGTGCAGTGTGTCCCCCACGGTACACTGTGACCCTCGTGGTGCAGTGTGGCCCCCATGGTGTACTGTGTGCACCATGACCCCTTCCATGGTGCATTGTTTCCCCCGTGGTGCACCATGTCCCCCACGGTACACTGTGACCCTCGTGGTGCAGTGTGTCCCCCGTGGTGTACTGTGTGCACCATGACCCCCTCCATGATGCACTGTTTCCTCATGGTATATTGGCTTTATTACTGGCTTTAGTTGTCCAGTGTTGAGGATTTTTGTTTCCTTCAAGTTGAGGTGTAACCTGTACATGAAAGCTATAGTCCTTCATTTTTCTTCAGTAAGTCTTTCAAGCCCTCTTTTCACTTTCTGCAAGGAAGGTTGGGTCAACTGTCTATGAGTCTCCAATCCTGGGACCATGTTCTTCTCCATAGAGTCCAGCTTCTCCACTGTTTGCTCAGCTGTGCGTCTTGGGAGCAGTGGTAGTGCGTCTGTCACATGCTTCAGGCATGTTGTCAGGAGGACCCAGTCCTTGGAAGATGCCACTGTGCTTGGAAGAGTGGACAGCAGAGGAGAGGCAGGCCCTCAGCCAGATGGGTGGAGACCAGGATGAGGGTTGAAGGTTTTCTGTTGACTCAGAGTTGTTAGGAGTAAGAGCTAACAGACTGGATTTTCTATCAAAGATTAATTGTTAATATGTGGAGTAAATTTCACAGATCTCCATTAATATCACTTGGTTTAATTGCCATGTTATAAAAATGGAAATATTTTCCTTTTGCACTACAGAAAAGGCATCCCTCATTGATGCATAAACTTTCTATTTTTATTTCTTAAAGTTCAGCCAGTACAATTTCATATTAAAAGTCTCATTAGGATAAATTTGTTGTTTGCATGTTAGGAGGAATTTCGGCTGCATTTCAAGAATATCTCTCGTATAATGGACTGCGTTGGATGTGACAAATGTAGATTATGGGGGAAATTGCAGGTTTGTGCATTGTTTTCTATTTTTAAAGTATTACTAGCCTTAATTTTTTTCACTGAGAAGCTCAAAGGCTTTAATAAAACCTCTTCATTGCCATTACAAATAGGCAGATCCTAGTATTAGAATGTTTTAATCTATTGATTAAAAAACCCCAGTGTTACTAAGGTGAATGTGTTTATGTATGGGTAATAATATTTTTGTAATATCCCAAGTTAATAGTTATAACTGTATGTTTATCTTGGTACAATCTTGGATTACTTTCTGAAATTAATGGTTGTTGGAAAGGTAAATTATAGCTATGTAAAAAGATGTAAGCATCCAATTTTGGTGATTAACATACAAGAGGCTGCCTGGTGACACGGTAATAGATCCCTCCCAGGCAGGTCCAGGCCTGGACACCACCTCTTGGCCTGGCCACCCTGTCCTACCACAGAGGCTGCATACTGCTGTGATGCTGAAGCCTGGGCCTGTGATGGTGAGCCGTCCTGTGGAGCCCTCAGCACTGCGATGCTGAGGCCTGGGACTGCAATGCTGAGCTGTCCTGTGGAGCCCCCAGCCTGGGGGACAGAAAGGGGGTGGAGAGGGGACATGGTGATCACCTCCCAAAATGGCCCTTAGGTATGATCCTGATCCCAGACAGTTGTGGGGGTAGCCCAGGATGGTGGGGGAAGGGATGGGATGTGGGGTGATAGGGAACCATGGGCAGAGACCCAGGGCTGGCCAGCATTTTGTCCCTTTGTACTTACAGAGGCCCATAAGTGACAATTTACTGTGATCCAAACAGTCACTCCTTTTTTCTCTCTGGCTGAGAACTCAGTATTCAGTGTGAATGTCGCAAATTATCACTGAGGTTTTAGTGACAAGGGACTGTAAGCATTGCTTTTCTAATTATGTATTGAACACTGAAATTCTAACCTTTTTAAAAATAGTAGACATTCAGTTATTCAGAATAGTATGTGTTAGCACACGTTAACCTATTGAAGTTTCCCTAACAATTCAGATAAATGTATCATAAGCATAATTTGTGTGGGAGTCCAAGCTGAAATGACTTGAGTAATTTATTGCTGAGAAATGGATACTTTTCATTGGTCAAACCAGTTTGAGCTATTGAGGCATCTTCCCAAATCCCTGGTGGTGAAGAGAGAGGGGTCCCACTCCCATCTGGAAGGGTTTAGGCTTCTGACCAGGCCCTGACCCCAGCCCCAGCCCCTGCCCCTCACATCCACCAGCTCATGGCCATGGAAAACCCCATGGAGCCATTCTGCTCATGTCCATGGGGTCACTGCGAGTCAGTATGGATAGCAGCGAGCATCAATAGCAAACATTTCAAAGGTGTCTTTTACAGACTTGAACTAAAGCTCGATTGCGTGTTTCCTATCCTCACAGGACTGAGTAAGACTCTACAATACTTGCTGTGTAAATGTCATTGTACATTTGCTGCTCTTCCTTTTAGACTCAGGGTTTAGGAGCGGCACTGAAAATACTATTTTCTGAAAAAGAAATCCAAAAGCTTCCAGAGAACAGCCCATCGAAAGGCTTCCAGCTTACTCGCCAGGAGATAGTCGCACTTTTAAATGCTTTCGGAAGGTAACCTTGCTCAAGATTTAAAAATGTATTTATTTTTTAATTTCCCTCTTGGAAAGATCTCATATTTACTAATGCGGGAATCCCCATGGTTTTCCACTTAGCTGCTTCAATTTTGTGGGGAAATTTCCTTTAAGGTTCACTTTGGTATTATTGTTATATGCCTTCAAATACAAACCACTGGCAACTGACCCTCCAGTGGGTTTTCAGAGGTTGCAAATCACATGAGAGAAAATTGCCCATCTTTCTCTTGTAGAGTAGCTGATGGGTTAGAAACACCTGCCTTTTGATTTGCAGTGCAATTTTTTACCCACTAGTCCACCAAAGACCATAGAGAAAAGAAATTTTTTGAAAGACCATATGCAGTAATGGAGTCACATGAACCTGATTCGAAACCACTGTTGGCTGAATGGCTCTAGAAAAGTTACTTGGTTTATCTGAGCCACGTTGTTGTTGTTGATTGCCTTCGAGTCGAGCACGACTCATAGCGACCCTATGAACAAAAGGCCTGAAGCCCCTCTACAACCATCGACATTTATCAAAGTTCATAGTTTCTGGAGGCATGTTGTTCAGGAAGTAGATGCCACTCCTGCTTCCAAACCTCACAGAATGTGTTATTGGTTGAGTTGCCTACAATGCATAGTGACTCTATGTACAGCAGCTCTTAATAGTTTTCCTAAAATGTAAAATCAAGGTTCATTCTTTGTCTCCTATGAAGTTATTAGCAATTAACGAGATTATGTATTTGCTGTGCTCAGAACATTGTGGGCCACAGCCTGAGCTCTCAGGAAGTAGCAGCTGTTCTTAATACCAGTACTCAAAGGAGCCTAACACTACATAGTGCAGCCCACTAAATCCTAATACGAAAATTGACTAAAGTACATTCTTCCTGATTTGACCTTGATTTTGTATAATAATTATGGAATTAAATTTTTGTGATATATATTCACAGTTTACTTCTGAACCTGGGCTCAGAAGCACTTAATTTGTTCAATAATGATTTCTCAAATACCGTAAAACCATTTTCTGAGCATAGGACTCCAAAAACAGACAAAATAAGCAGCATTCTTACTCTTAAGTAGTTAACAGTGTAAGCAAACTGATGTGTTTTGAGAACAAGGACAAAGTGAAGGAGTGTACAACCAGATAGGAACAATATAAGGTTCTTTATTATTTATGTTACTCCTATCACTTTTTGGAACTTACCTAGGGTCTGTTTTCTTTTGCCTCTTAAAACCAGGGCTAAAGAACTGTAGGTCTGTAGAGCAATTATAGCAGTACTCATTTAAAAACGGAACCTTTTAAATATTGCCTATATAGATTTTGCTTTCCAATCTTGTTTTTGTCATTGACTATTCATAGCAATCCTATGAACAACAGATCTGAGCCTTAGCCTGTGTAAAAAATATAATTTGATGTCTGACATTAGCTGTATTAACATGCTTTTCTCTCTTTCAGACTTTCCACAAGTATAAGAGAGTTACAGAATTTGAAAGTCTTACTTCAGAACAGTAGGTAATAAAGGTTTTACCTGTCTCTAAGTTGAGAGACGCAAAGGGACTGTGAAACGCCTTGGTCTTGGACTTTCTGAAGATTTATCTCCTAATATGTCAAGAATTTTGAACTCTTTAAGGAGAAAATTCAGTTGCTCACTTGAATATTTATTATCCTTAAAAGATGAAAATTTGTAAATTAAGTATATACTTTCGGAACTTGTAAGTTATCCTAATCCTGTGTGTACTTTCATTTGTTTTGACCTTCAGTTGAATATTCTATTCAGTTTGGTTAAAAAAAAAGTTTTGTTCTTTTTGTATGATCCTGTACTTCCATGTGTCAAACCTTAATTGTCTTCTATGACTAAAGGAGATCTGGGGAACAAATGTGGCCAGGGTTGGTATTGGTGATGCAGTCTTTTCAATAACCTTTTTTAAGTGCTCCAAGGAAAAAAACCAAATCAAGAAAGCCTCCCAGCTCTGTGTCACTTTGTGGCCCTGCCAGGGTCATGAATGGTCCTTTAAATGTAGTTACAGGTGAACTTCAACTTCTGTTTCATTGGTTTATCTGGAAGATTTCCCATTGTTTTTGATCTGAAGAGGCTTCCTTGGTAGAAGTGACTGAGTCTCTTGCCTCTGCTTCCCAGCCAGACTACATGAGCATCTGACTCAAGGATGTGCTTTTACTTAGAACTTTACCAGTTTCCTCAGATTTTGGTTTTTTTCTTTCCGCCCCAAAACTTAGAAACTTGTTTTCTTTTGCACTTAAAAATATTTAACAGATTCCTTCACTGTAAAATCTGAGTGAGACTGAGTAACACTGATGGGAAACAATACACAAACGTTTTCTCTGTTTTGACATTTCAAAGTAAGTATCTTAAAGGATTTTAATTTAGATAATCTATGCAATCCTGCCACTCTCACACTTATTTTCCTTGGTAGAGTATCTAAGTAGGTACCTGAGTTCTAGCCTCCTGTAAGGCCCTCCCTGCTGTATCATTTTCCTTCTGTATATAAATGGCCCTGTGTGTGACAGTGACAGAGGTGACTCCTAAGCACTAGCAGGTCATCTTCTATCCTGGGAAGGGGAGATCCTTACAGAGTATGGATTTTTTTTATCCAGAGATGTCAGTAGATGTCCTATGATTGGTTTGAGGGTTGTATGGAAGTACTGTGGGCACAACATGCAAAGTCTCACTTTAGGCCTGCCGTCTTTTGCAGAGTAAATAAGTGCTCTTATGCCCTTGTCCTGCCAAAGTCTGAAATGTGTTTATTGGTTACTCAGTGGAGTAAGTGATTTTAAATTGTGTTTAGCTCAGTCACCCCACTTTTTGCCATTCTTCTAAGGATGGCTGGGGAGGAAGATTATTCCTAGATTTATTTATTTTCTTGCCTAATTTCTAATTATCATAAGCTTGTTTTGTGGTTGTTTCGAAAAGTTGAAAGAAAAAGCTGACTTGATTGAAGCCTTCCCACTTTTCTTTCTTCAGGGGATACAAATATTATACAGTGGGGAGGAGTCCTCAAGGCAAATCTGTCTGCAAAGTGTTTATCTAAATTATCTTGCTGGTAAATAGTAAAGGTTATAATGTTCAGAGCTTTAAAAATGTGAAAGTCTTTCACTTTGTCTACTAGTGTTATTTTGTGTTTAAAGATTTTGGTAGTGTTAATTCACCATTCTCAATGAAAGACTTATTTAAACTACTAGTACTTTAGAAAATCCTTGGTTGTTGCATTTGTTACTTTTTCTCTTTTATTTTGTTTCAAGCTTAGAAGAAATTGTATATTTGAATTGTTTCAGGAGAGCAAAAGCTTCTTAGGTTAAAAAGTTATTTTCAAAGTTTATTATCTCCCTACTAAAAAGCAAATGACTATTCTGAAGCAGAAACAGCTTTATCATAATCTAATTTGGAGTGGGAGGCAGACATTTTGTGCTTTTCACATGAACTGTATAAACTCTATGCCTGGTGATTGTTTACGGACCTGTGATCTGTTCTTCCAGTCACATACTTTTGTTGTGAAGAGAAGATCCTGTGTTGTGAGATGCTGGGCTGGGAGGGAACCTCCTGCCATTCTGTCGGTATCTCCTCTCCTGAATTGAACATCCAGCACTTGACAATATATCTGACCACAATGATTGTACACGCTGACAGAGTAATGAAAATGAAGAAAACATGCCTTCTTTAATGTCATGAAATTCCTTTTTCTTATGTGGCATCTCTTTAAGGTATAAAAACTATTAAAATTGGTAAACTTTGAATGTTTATTCTGTTCATTGCTTCAGTTATGAATAGGATCAGACAAAAATGTAACAGCATCACAATTTTAAATTATAATAGGTGAAAGCATTTCATTTTGATGTTTTAAGCCCTGTGAATTACTCAGTGCTTGAGTCGGCCGAGTAACAACTTGTTGCTTTTGAAAAACTGCCTCGGGAGCGCTGGTGGCCTAGTGGCAAGAAACTGCACTGCAATCCCAGAGGTGCATGGTTTGAATCTACCAGATGCTCTGCTGGAGAAGGAGGGACAGATCCCATTTGACAGTTGTTGTTGTTAAGTGCCGTCAAGTCGCAGGCGACTCATAGCGACCCTATGAAGGAGAGTCCTCAATACTTGGGTGTCTCTCATCCTCTCTCCAGGTTCATAGGGTTTCCAGAGGCAAGCTATTATGAAAGTGGATGCCATTCCTCCTCCCAATATTTGACGGTACACACACAAAATAGTAAAATAAAAAAGAGGTACAAAAAAAGAAAAACTGCCATGTTTTCCAAGTTGGTCAGGCACCCCTGTGTGTAAGAAAGCATAGGTCCCCGACCCTCCTGAGCACTGCCCACAGCTGGGAACCCCTTTCACTGTAGCCCTCTGCAGAGAGAAGCCTGCAGAAACTCGAGCTGCTCGCGCGCGCGCGCACACACACACACAGAGATTGGGTGCATGGTATCACGGAAGATGTTTGGTAAAAACAAAACACAGGTGAGGGTCTAAGTAACAGCTACAGGGACAGCTTTGATTTTGCATAGTACCTCAGGTAATTTAATGTCCCCACCAGAATCTAGCAAATAAAAATTAAAGACATGTTTCTGTAATCTCTTGTCTTTTTCTATCCTCTTTTAAGTATTCTTTTTATGATATTTAATTCAGGAAGGGAGATAGTATAAAGAGCTGGCTATTTTCTTACTGTCCTAATTTATAATCATTTGCAGACAGTGTTCAGGACTTTACATGCATTATCTTATTTCATTGTCACTAGGAGATAGGTGTCATTTATACACCTTGTTTTATTCATACGAAAAATGAGAGTAAGGGGCCTGAATATCTCACATTCACAAATGCTATTTCAGGCTATAGTTTGACCCTGGAGCCTCTGCTCCAAATGTGATGTATTCCTGTAATTTCCTAAGCTGACCTGTCACCACCTAAAACTTGGGAACTTTAAATATGTTTTTACTTTATTTGGAGTCATGAGGCTTTTAAAATAACTATATTTTTAATATGTAGTACATTCATATGGTTCAAAACCCCAAAGATATAAAAAGCTCTACAATGCAGTGTCTTCCATCTTGGTCCCATATTCCCAGGACCACTGTCACCCCCCAACCTCTACACCACACATAACCCATGGGGGTCCTTCTATTTGCACAATCATACTTTTAAAGTATATGCAAGTAAATACAAATTTAAAATCTGCTTTTTCATTTTTACCCAAAAGCAGCACCAGAAATAATCTTCCTGCACTCTGTTTTCCTCCCATTAACAGTTTTTGATAGATGTCCCCTACTACTTAGCAGTATTCTTTTCAGTGACTTTTTAGTATCCCATTGTATGGATGTACCATCATTTAATTAACCAGTATTCCCAAATGCATTTGTAACCTGGAACAACACCGCCCTATTGCTGCTGTTCGTAACCTCCTCACACACGCGTGTCCTCTTACCCACAGCCTCACCAGCTCAGACAGTGTCAAACGCTGAGATTTTTGCCATTCTCATTTGCTGAAAGTTGTAGGTTTTTAGTTGAATGAAGAGGCTGAAAACCATTTAGTGTTTGTTTTCCCTTTGTGCCCCTTTTCCTGCTGCATTGTTGACCTTACCCATTTCTAAAACAAAATCCCTCGAACTCATTGCTGTTGAGTCAGAAGTGACTCAGAGCTGACCGTCCATCGGGTTTCCAGAGACTGTATGTCCAACAGGAGGTGACTGCCCATCTCTCTCTTCTGTGAATCAGCTGTTGGATTCCAGCAAAGTAGTGCTGCTCCTTCCTGCGTTGGCCACCAGGCCCTAGGAGTGCTCTGCCCTTGGGATACGTTAGAGAGCCAGCATAGCTTCTTCCCAGACCACTACTCAGTTTTCGGGGTAACACCTGAGCACCTTGCCCTTCCCCAGCGAGTTAGAGAGGCTGTGGATGACACGCTGAAACTGCCACTTCCCCGAGTCTAGCTGGGTTCTTTGTTCCATCTGTCCCGTCTGCAGTACCACATTGTTGTTGTGACTCAGCAAGCTTAAACATCTGGAGTGTTGGTAAGCTCACTCCCTGTCTCTCCTTCCCCTCTGGGGACAGTTTTTCTAGCTAGTCTGCCCTGATTTGTGTATTTTTCCATATGACTTCTAAAAAATACATCCATTAAAAAAGGGATTCTGTTCAAGCTCTGTCCATCTCCGTATTGAGAACGGTACTCACTAATGAATCCAGCACTGTTCTTTTGATACTGTTCCTGGTGATAAGGTCCTTTTGACCACACGCTGTGTACTCAGAGGCCCATCTGCTGGGGTCCAGAAGGCGGGGGTAGGGAGGCTGGGCACTGCTGTTCTGAAAAACTCAGGTGCTCTTAAACAAATGAACTTGTAAAATAAACAGATGGTGGAGAAGGGTCAGCAGCCTCCTAGAATCAAAGGGGAGGAGCAGTATCCACCAGAACAGGATCTGACGAGTCCTCCTCAGGAGTCTAAGTACAGCAGTAAACAAAACCTGTGGCGTCACACAGCTCACCTTCCAGAGTGTCACCTAATGACACTGTGACCCAGAGTAGA